TGTGTGTACACTTACATCAGTGTGTGTGTGTGTTCACAGGAATCAAATCCCGGACTGCACTAGGGCAGAGGCTGCATCACTGGAGAAACCTCTGCCTGGTAAATATGACAGTTTCTGATTGGTGGAAAAACAAAAATATACAGATTTAAAGCATCCTGTAAACATCTCACACATTTTCCATTTTCAGCCAAAATAACTGAAAAGCAGTTTGCCCAGATGTGAATTTCTCATCCTGTTTACTATATATAGGCCATTTGTTACGTGTCTGATGTCATGTGGAGGCCGATGATGTTCATATCATTCAGGTTACAGTCTTTACTCTGATCCCACAGGGTGTCCTGGAGCTCGTAAGAAGAAGTTCCTTCAGAGTCTGGTCAGAGCGCTGCAGGTGGAAGCACAGCATGCTGGGAGTCAGAGTCCCTACCAGTAAGTCTGGATACTGTAGACAGCAGGGGGGGTGACGAGTGCAGCAGTGATTAATGATCTTCTGTGAAACTCACAGTAACATCTCAGGCTGTGTCTGAAATTGTTATTTACTCACTTTTTCATCATCTGCACGTACTCTCATGTCAGAATCTCTAAATAGAAATGAAAAACATGTCTGTAGCAGGTCGAGTTTCTGAGAGTCCCAAAGTGGTGGAAGTTTGTCTTAGTGCCTGAAAATTCAATATACCTCTCTGTAGAGGGAAAACTGACTAATGTGCAAGTATATTTGAGTAAGCAGGCACTGATTTAGGAAATATACGGTGGAAACAGTAGATGGCACAGTTATCTCAGATAAAAATCATTTCTCAATAAGCAGACATCCGTTTAGAAGACCCCTACGAACTCAGCAGGCTGTGTTTGTATTATTTAAATATGTTTTGATTTTGTGAAATGGAACAGGCTTCAGACTCGCACCATAAGTTTGCATTATGTCCGCTCTGTGCCTGCGTGCTCGTACAACGTGAAACCTGTAGATCTGCTTTAAATCAAGAGAAATTCTTCCGTCTCAGGTGTGTAATGTGCCACCTGTTGCACAGCAGGAGCTGATAGCGATTCCTCCGGTGTGTTGTAGTGCTGAGATGGTACGCAGAATTGAAAATGAAAACCAGTTTCACACATCGGTGAACAGTGCAGATTTGATCAAGCACCTGATAACCTGCAGGAAGAACAGAACGGAATATTCCCATCTGTTTTCCTGCGTTTGCCAATCAGCACTTACCTCATTCTTTCCATCTGCTCCTCAGTCTCAGTTTACAAACATGTTGTTGGCTCACTTCTTCAGGTTCATGCTTTTCATGCATCTGTGTCCCATCCTTCACCCACTTTATTATTCTCCACCAAACATGCACAGATTTTCAGCTCCAGCATATTTCTTCACGATAACTTTGGCTTTGCTGTTTCATTCATTCCAGACTTGTTTGCGGTTTGTGTCTGACATAAATTTGAAGCTTCAGTTGCTCAGCTTGCTTTATAACTGATAAGAGGGAACTGAGAAATCCATCTGGTGATTCTGTTTGTCAGCAGGCTCCCTTGTTCTTGTGAAATGGGATGTTTATTGAGTTCTGCTGGAGCGTTGTGAATAGTGCTGCTGGGTTTTATACGATCAGTGTGTAAACATTGAGACACACTGTCAAATCTGAGTACAGATTATTCCGTGCTCTCTGTGATGCTAACAGCGATTTTAAGGTTTGAGTGACTTTCAAATTTAAGTTTTTCACTATTTCGTCACACAGAACTGTTTCTTTAAATGTGTTTTCTGTGAAAAGTGATTTGAAAAAAGAACCTGAATGAGGTGGCGTCCTTTACACCAGCAAAGTGTCTCATCTCTTGGGTTTTTGTGCCGCTTCTTTCCATCAGAGACTCAAACACAGATCCTTCCAGTGCTCCTTCGCCCACTTCAAACCCTCCACCCTCTGTGGCTCCTTCATCATCTTCCTCCTCTCTGGATAATGCCTCCGCTGATGCTGCAGAGTCTTCTAGGCCAGAGGTGGTGCTGCAGTGGCACTTTAATCAGCTGGACGTGGACTCCGACGGGTGGCTCAGTGAGCGTGAGGCTCGACCCCTCCGTCAGTTCCTGCGGCGCAGACTGAAGCCACGACGCTGTGCTAAGAAGTTCGCCCAGTACTGCGACAGCGATCGAGACCGAAGCCTAACGTTAGAGGAGCTGAGGGTGTGCCTGGCTCTCTGAGGAGGCTTACCGTCAGGTATGTGACTGCAGTATAAACCCAGTGGTTAAGCTAATCATTTCTAATTTTTTCCAACTTGTACCTCTTGTTGGGAATGATTTGCATCACCCTTGCTTAACTTTCTGTGCTCTGTGAAAAAATAAGATAAATCTGAATATATCTAATACAGCTGGCCTTTTTACTCATTACATGTTTCTTGTTTGCCACAGATTTGAACTTGAACAGATTTTCCCTTTATTAAGATAATGACAGTGGGAAGAGAAGAAATTCAGGCAAAGGCTGGTAGACTATAGGAACGGCAGCTCTTTGCGCCCTAACGACGTACTGCACATGCTTAACCACCATCGAGCTGACGCTAACCTTCACACTGCTGCCCGTAAAAACAGAATATAATCAAAGTTCACTTAGACCATGACACAGCTCAATAAAACCGCAGCTTTGACCAGCTCAGCTTGTTTCAAAATAACACGTTGAGCTCGCCGGTGCAGTCTAGCAGAGAGTAGAGCACACGCTGTGAATGCACCAATTCTTCGGAGCCGTTGAACCGATCGGCCTGATTAAGGACAGGTGCAACGGCAGGGAGCAGAGTCTCTGTTCTCACTCCAGCTGCTGCTCAGTGCGAACCCGCTCATGCTGCATGAAGCTCATTTGATACGTTTCTCCAGCCAGGTTGATGAAGTGATCGTTTTCGGCTCATGTGCCATAGTTTAGAAACACAGTCACAGAGTGGGAATGTCTCCATGTTTCCTTTTGTCTTCAGATTAGCACAATGTTTTGGAAGTGTTTTTTAAGTTGCATGGTTTGGATGGCAGCTAGTTTACAGCTCTGATCGTTGCTTTATAATTTAATATTTCCTCTTTTTTCTTATTTCCAGTCTCTTTTGTCTACTTCAGTCACCCCAACTGAAACTAAGCAGCTCGTGTTGGTCTGAGAGTTGATGAATGTCGAGCTAATACGCAGATTATCAGAGCTATGAAAATAAGAAAACATGTCTGCGTGGGCAGAATATGAGCTGCGCATTAGAAAAGGAACAAACAGGATACAATTACATCTTATTCAATTCAGTTTCATTGTTTCCTCTGCTGATTGTTTCCTCTTGCAGCTTCTTATTACTGCTAAGAAGCTGCAACTTGTAGTTATTTTGGGAAAGCAAATCCATCCATGAAACAGCCTACGCCTCTGCTGTGGCATAATCACAGTAGTATAACTCCAGTTTCAGTGGTACTGAGCAGTTAGTGGTAGCAGGATTTAGATAAGTAAAAGTAGAAGCAGCAGAATATACCTACCTAATATACCTGGTGATATTTCAGCAGCAGTGAGATAACACAGAGTTGTTCTCGTCTCAGTTTTCACAGCTGTCTCTCTCTCTCTCACACGGCTGTTAACCGGCCTCCTCATTGGTCTGCTGGCTGAGGTAAAAGCGTCTTTTCTCTCCTTTTCAGGCTGTTGATCTAAGGGGAGCTGAGCAGTTTGGGCTGGCAGCGAGACAAATTACACCCACGATGTCTGAGTGTTTATGTACCTTCGTAAAACGAAAACAAACGGTGGTCGAGGTGAAAAGGCCCATTTGTCAGGGGGCTATCAGTCACAGCTCGGTGGTGACAGCGATTCACTAATCAGCCCACCGCAGACGGCAGTGACAGCTCGACCAGTGTGTGTGTTTTTCTTAGTTATAGCAACACGAGTCTGGGATTTATTATAAGTTTGTAAGGGTCATAAGCTCGATATTCCGTCTTTCTCTGCCTGGATTTTTCTGTCATTTCTGTTGATGTAAACAAAACAAAACATCTGGTTCATATGGAGATCTTAAATCATGTTGCTGATTCCACCGACAAGCATGAAAAACACGATTATACAGTGAAGGACGGATGACAGAGAACAGCAGCATTTTCTCACTGTATCTGCAAACATCCTGTAGATCATTTTATATATTTATATATTTTGTGTAAACTGAAAACTTCAGTTTATTTTTCCAAGATTTCACTGGCAGAGTTATCAAAGTACCATATTATTTAGAAATAATGTTGAAAATACAAGATTAGAGCAGCTACAAGGATCCCATTTAAAGTCTAGACTGACATCGTCAGTGACACGTCAGCTGACCTGACCTGAGAGTTGGCAGTTCATCTTGTGATCGCAAGGTTGCCGGTTCGAGCCCCGGCTCGGACAGTCTTAGTCGTTGTGTCCTTGGGCAAGTCACTTCACCTACCGCCCACTGGTGAGGGGCCGATGGCGCGATATGGCAGCCTCGCTTCTGTCAGTCTGCAGCTGTGGCTACAACTGTAGCTGCCTCCACCAGCGTGTGAATGAATAGTGGAATTGTAAAGCGCTATATAAATGCAATCCATTGTTATCATTTGCAAACCTTCACCGATCTGTGTGAAAGTGACGGGAGTCAGTCAGTCAGATTGGGCTTGTTTGGAGAAACGTTGCCTCACACCAGCTGATCTGTGCAGTCTCCTTGGAATTGAAAGTAGTTCCCAAGAGGCTGAGGTCGGTAACAACTGATTATCAATCAAAAATTGATAATTCTTAGTTGAGGTTGTTGTTGTATATTTACTCGAGCATGACTCAGCCATAATAGTTAGACTGAATGACACAAGTGTAATCTCATTTGAGGAACAGCAGTGAGAAAGACCTGTGGGCAGCCTCGGCGTCAATGAAGTGTGACTATAGAGACTGTATAGCATTAGAAAGCAGCAGTGCCTGAAGAGATGCAAGAGCAGGAATATAGAGTGGATACGAGGAAACAGGCCTCGAGTCTGGATGACCTAAAAGTCTTGCTTTATGGACAGGAGGACACACTGGTGAAATTAGGTTCTGCACAAAGGCAACAACAGGGACAGCAAGGGCAGTAAGAATCACTGCAGAAAGTATGAAAAGTGAAAGTCAGCAAGAGGACAAGCAGAGCAGCAAGGTGAAGTGCAAAGATAAGAACTGGCAGGTGGCAGACAGAGGCAAGTGGACTGAGGAGCAGCTGCTAATTCAGAGATGAAGAGAAAGACAGGATAAAGAGAGGCACATGGGGCATTGAACTAACATGTGTCTGGGGGAGATAGCAGTGACCTCCAGTAGTGATGGAGGAGCCGACTCCCCAGACACGCTGCCAGTGGACCCATGTCACTCTGCTGAGCTCGGTAAAACAGGCTAGAGTTGAAAAATAGTTTCCATTGATGTGATTCTATTGTCTTTATTTTCCTACCCTTCATTTCTCTTTCCCATTTTTTTGGTTCTCTTTCAGAGTCAAAGCGACCGAGAGCAACGAGACAAATCAGCTGACATCAAAAGGCAGCTCGTTTTAGTGATTAAGTCATAGAAGCGCCATCGTTGGGGTTGGAAGATCTGTTCTGTCGCCCACTTGTTCCTACATGGTCGCAAATTCCTGACACTGTCGCTGTGGGGTGGAGCAGGGGGAGGTTTTAATGTGCAACCTCCAGCTCGGATACACTCGGCACTCCAGACAACCACTACAGTAATCTGATCCATTCTCAGCCACTTGCAGCTCAGTGTCCTCTGCTGTTTCACACCCTGCAGAGCCATCCAGGGGTTCAGCTTGGATTCTTTTTGGCTGACTTTTGCTCGTGATTCCAGACCAATAACAACAAGAAACCTTAATTTATTCAGTTACTGCTTTCCTTTTTCTCCTTTCATTAATCTTATGTGTCTTTTACTTCCCGAGCCTGCATCTCTTCTTCTTTGTACATACTTTGTTACAACACATACTGACAGTATATATTAACACATGTATACATAAGTATATGTACTTTTGTAATTTGTTCGTTAAGTTGTATTTTCAGACCACATCATCGACTCACAGCATTTTCTACTAAGTAATTGTGAGTTAAAAAAGGGAAAAACAGGTGTGATGGATGGATGTAACTTCAACCTTCATGTTTTTGCTGTTTGTAAATTTCAATAAATTTGTCGTCTCATTTTTATTCATCTCAGCAGTCATACGTGTGAACGCTGTCTCGGCATCTCAGACTCGGTGGTTATCAATGGAGCCGCCGTGTCCTTCATTAGGTCTAACAGGAGGCCCGTTGGTTTCCACAGCAACAGCTGCCCGAGTTGTTGTCCCCTAATAAACTAATCAACAGATAAACAGGAAACAACAGAGGAATAGCATCTTTCATAACAGTCAAGTAAAACTTATTTCCCATCCTGCATTAGTGCCCGTCACAGGTCATCACTGAGGCTAAATGTATTTCGACGGGAGATTAACAAGGTCCCGCGGCTTCCTAGCAGCCGGAGCAGATGATGTGCTTTCCTGTGCGACTTTGTGCCAGTTTCACAAACATACCTTAGACTGGAAATGCTGGAAATATGCAGCAGTGAGGACACCGTCCACCATTTTTGTTTAAGGATCTTATCCTGAAAGAAGTGCTGAGCCGTGCCACATCAAGACGACACAGCATGAAAGCTCTGTGCGATTGTTCTGCTCGAGGTCAAGGCATCGAGATGTCAATCTGAATTTATGTATCTGAGCCACATTCAAAGGTGACCTGACCTGACAAATAGTAATATCAGAGTTTGTGTGACTTTTTAATAATAAAGCTCACTTCAGTAGAGAAACTATTCACTGCAAGTTTTCAGTGCAGAGAAACCTTTTTTTAAATACACAAAATCTTATTCAGAGTAATCTAAAAGAACGACGGAGTGATGCTTTCTGCTTGAGAAATTGCTTGGTACATTGTAACTTTTCCTCTGAGGAACTAAAGGTACAGATAAAGTGAAGGTTTCACTGATTCAAATTAGACATCCTATAATATGAAGTACAATCCTTAAAGTAACAGATTTGAATCCTTTCATAACACTGACAAAGCCTGAGGATGGGAACTATAATGTGTTTCACAAAAGGAATTGTGATAAAAGTGGCTATATAAATAAAATTATCCTGACTTTTATTCAATTCAATGTCATTTTGTAGTGCGGATTACAGCCTCGATTTTCTCTCTCATCCTTCGTAAGATTAATCTGATGGTCCTCTGGCCCATCAGATTAATCTTATGATCTCTTGGAGGTGATCTGACTTCCGTAATGGGAACCACAGCCTGGGGACACCTGGACAACTCTCAAAAGCTCTTATTAATCTTTCACTTCACATTTCGCATCCAGCTTCTGCAGACCACACCTCGGCCTCTTTCGCTTTGTTTATTTGACCAGCAGATGGCGCTCTGGCTCTAGGGCAGCTTTACGAGCAGCACCTCCGGCAGGAGAGGAAACCTCCTGCAGTCTTGCTCCAAAGACACACCCTGATAATCCCAGCCTCAGCAGAGCAGACAGGGAAACACTGCACGATTCCATAAAAGCACAGGCATAGATTTTATCATGATACAAACTGCTCACGAGATGGAAACGAGCAGTGCCCCGAGCATCAGAGGCAGGACCTTGATATGGATTGTTTGCATGATATGGTATTGATATGAATTATAGATGAGCTGCTGCATTTAAATGTATAGGGCTTTATTTGGTAGAGTGGGATCTTGCAGAGGGTGTGTATGCTCCTCCCAAGGTTACACACTGAGAGCGGAGTGCTCCACCGAGCCCATGACTAACAACGAGAGCCTGCAGGTCACACACAGGCATCAATCTGCCAAGAAATTCAGCACACACAACACACACACACACACACACACAGCAGTGCCCTACATGTTTACATGCTGAGATCAATCTATAATTCATCCGACTAAAATCCATATCTGCCACCTCATCAAAATTCAGTTCCTAATAATAAAAGACATGCTGACTCGAGCACTAACTGTTAAGACAAACACACTCATGCAATCAACTGCACATATATATTATTAGCCGAGGGAATCAAGTTGCATGGCTCTGATTTTTATGGAAGCTCAGTCGACTAATGATTGCAACTTTGTCATGTGAAAGAAATCCACACACAAATTTGCAGAACGCAGACATTTGCACAGCAGTTAGGATGCAAAGAGTGTGTGGTCCTGATGCTGCCAATGACAACAAAATGTAGACAACTCTAATATGCACCATGTGGTGATTGGTTATATATAATATTAACTGTGACTACAATTTTAATTAAATCTGATACAATATTGCACAATAAGTGATGATTGCAAGAAAGCATATGTTTGGAAATGTCTCATTACGACTGCTCATCTTAAAATGATTCAAAATGAGGAACTACAGAAGTCCAACAACATCCCAGCAAATATTCAAATCATCCTTTTCTGTTGTAACCCTGGCGCCTGGTCTTTTGTGGACCCCCGTCTGCATCGTGTTCGCTGTATGGAGAGTTTGTTCTTTGTTTGTTTCCCATTTAATTTTCCAGTTTAGTTCCTCATGTGGAGTTTTTACTTTCGTCCTTTGTTCCCTCTGTTCTCGTCTAAATTGAGTTCACCTGTCTTTTGTTAGCCCTCTGCGTCGTGCATATTGTCCTTAGTCTTTATCTGGTTCTCTAATAAAAAATTTACATAATCCACAAAGAGGGATCCACCAGGCAAAAACAAGCAGGGAGACACAGGAACCAGAGTTGATCTCATTATGTCTTTGTACTGGGTGCACTTGTAAACATTTCGAGACAAGCAGGAGAATGTAAGCTCCCTCTGGATGTTCATTAACCATTTGTTGGAGTGCTGTGTCTCTGACTCATCCGTGATGAAAGCGTTCTTGCTCTCCTTGGACTGGTGTAAATGATTATTAGCAAAACTGCAGTGCAGCACGCCGCCCCGCCTCTGTGGTCAGACGGCTTGGCTCAGTTTGTAGCTGCAGTAATATATTTACAATCTTTTAATGCTGACCAAAAGTAATGGTAGTAAACTAATCAGCAAGTATTGGTATTCAGCATTTATGAGAAAATCAATAGCAGGAGAGTCACAAAGTACAAGAGCATCCTGAGAAAATATTGTGGGAATAATTGGCTACTTCAGTGCGCTGCTGTTTTCTCTGACCTCGGAAAGTTCCTGTGGGAATTGCTGTGGCTTCAGTATGAAGCACAGTCTTATTATAAATTGACTGAATCATGTTGTGACATGCCTGTGATTGATAGTGATTTGATGAGGAGATGAGGTTGACATCATTGTACGGAGGTCAGTAGTCGAAACTAACAGACAGGAAGAAGCCGTCATCCCTAATTAGAGCTAGATCACGTTTTTATGGATCTGAAATGCTGCCTCCTTTCCATCCTCATGCGCATATGCATTACTGCACTGGTGCCCAACTCCAGTGATGTCAGGCAAATCCAGGTGTGCTGTGGGATTTTGTGACAACCATACAGTATTATTGCAGTAATAATGATAACTGATTTACTGTATCTGAAGTTGTATTTGTTCCTCATAATAAAACTTCATCATATGTGCATTTGTTGACATCAGAGGCTGTGCCTGATGGTGACAAGGTTAGTCTGCCCGAGTGTCATCTTCATAAGAAGTTGGCTAGCACAGATCCAGACAAGCTAACCCAGAGGTACTTTGAGAACAAACATGTCTTCTGAGAAAAATGAGGCGTGCTTAAAATGAACACTGGATCAGAACCACAGGAAGCCAGAGTGCTGTGTAAAAATGTCTGATAAGGTGTTGGAGATGATTCTCTACACTGCTGTAAAAATGTGGGGATTTTTATGCTAGTTCCAGATGTTACAACTGGGCAGAGAAACAGAAGCTATAGACAAGCTGTCCGTAGCTCTTCATTCTGCTTTTGAGCCAATTTTTTTGAAAACAACTGCCTTCATGTAGATTTGGTGTTGGTGGGGTGATTCTCTGTAAGGTACTGCACCTGGGTATTCGTATGTTATTAATCTAGCTATATTGATCACACAGGTGTGACATCTCATTTTCATACCTACTGTCATGTTCAGCTGTGTAAACAGTAGATTGTGGATCCAAACTGCTGTTTTGTATAGAGAATCCAAACTTTCAGGCTCAACTAAGGAACAGATTCACAGAAACGGCCCAGGCCACTAGGAGGAGAAACTCACAGCGAACATAAGACAAGAGCAGCGCGACAACAGCTGGGACGCACAGCTGGATCAGATCGACACAAAAGACGAGACAAGAACCGAAAGGAACACAAAAGAGAACTACTTAAATACTACATGAAAGTCACCTTTCAGTAACTAAAAGTAACTAAAACTAAGAACACAACACTGCAATAACATTTCATTTAGGCATGTCATGTTATTGACAATAAACCGGACTGGGTTAAAAGCACAGCTGCACTGCTCAGGAAGTCTCTATTTTCTGAAGCGGCTGAGATTCTTTTACCATCTGTCGGACAAAGCTCAGGTTTTTTGACGAGTCTGTTGTGGCCAGTGCCATCCTCCATGCTGTTGCATGCTGGGGCAGCAGGCTGATGGTTCAGGATGCCAACAGACTCAACTCTGGAGCTGGACTCTCTGAAGTTGGTGTCGGAGAGGCAGATATTGTCTAAGATAAGGACAATACCTCCCAGTCATCACTGACGTGCTGGCCAGTCACAGGAGCACGCTCAGTGATGACTGAGATTACTCAAATGCACCATTGAATTACACAGAAACTCAATCTTGCCTTGATCTAAAGCACAGCTACTCACTGCAATAGTTCGTCACCTTCATCACCTTCACCTGGGTGTTTTGCTGCTTTTCTGTTATTTACATCACTACCACCTTCCCACGCTGTCAATCTCAACACCATTACTTTAGTCCAAACATCTCCTCGCCTGCTTTCTTTAAGCCACTCAGCCTCCACTTTGCACGGTTTAAATCTGTGCTCTCCATCATTCTCCTTTCAGACTAATCCCATCTCCACCTCAGACACCATCCAAGCCTCAGTCTTCATCTACACCACCTCATTCACATGGGATCTTGTTTTTTTCTAAGCTTATTACAACAACTCTCACAACCTCTCTGCACTCACTTCCACCATTTGGATGCAAATAATGACTTGGGTCCACCTTTGCTATTTGCTCGCACAGCCGCAACATAACACGAGTAGAAAATAAACCATGAATAACCTATACGAAATATTAAAGATAAACAAACCTTGTAAACAAAAGGGAATAACAACTCAGTAAATAGAATATTAAATACTGACTAAGCAAGATACACAGAAACCCAATCCAGGGTTGGACTTTAAGGACTTTAGGATCGAAAATACAAACACTGGGCAATGAAAAGATCTAATAAATGACACCAAGAAAAATAAAACACTAAATTTGAACATAAATCGCTTCACAAACTCAGGGACTGTGACACCTTCGAACAAACCAGAGGACCTGGGAAAAGCAATGAGACCAAAAAAGCTTTTATTACATTAAAATCTGGAGAATTTATACAAATGCCAACTTCTTACTGCTCGGTAAAGCAATTTATGTAGTTACCTTCAGGTACAATACAAAGATCTGAGGGTAACTTTATTGGCATATTATTCTCAGAATGTTTTAGTTCTTTATGATGACAGGAAGTCTTCCTGTTTCCTTTGAGCTCTGGACTGAAACAAATAGCTGGATGTGACCAAATGTACCAGGTGTGGGATGAAGCCTCTGTACAGACAGCAGTAATACGGAGTCCTCATGTGGAGCCAGTACCTTCATCTATCACTGGAGAGCTTTGATTATTTAATCCAACAATATAATGATGTAACCAAACTTTGATGCCAATTAAGCAGTCTAGCAAACAAAGTCAATGTAATCTTTGGAGCCACAGAGGAGTCTTTAATATTGTCTCAGTAAAACTGATTCATAAGGAGATCAGTGTTGTCTTACATTCAAATCAAAGAACAGGAAACAAAGAAGGAAATGGCGATGAGAGCAAGAAATAAGCTTTGTAATGTACAGAAGGAACTAACGAATCCTGACTGACGACATTTGATTTCACCAGTGACATCACTGTTACCAAAAAGTTTTTGACAGGCATGGAAATGCTGAGTCAGCATTTGTTACACACCAGCACAGAAATATCTGCCGGATTCAGGTTTCCTCCGGCAATTAAAAAAAACAGAGCTCCAGTTTAGTGACAGCATAAGTGAATATAAAGTCAATAAAAGGTGAGAATTACCTCCAGGCAGAGAAAATAAGAAATGAGTTAAAAATAAAAATCTGGGAAAATCCTGATGCTGTATTGCTCCAATTCACCGAGGTTAGTGAAAATGGGAGAGACTGAAGGAAAGCACGGGGAAAGAAAGCTTTAATATTGTATTCACACACACGATGCATTGCAGCTCAATCGAATCATTTATTAAAACTGCTGATCCAAATAAACGGATGCAAAACTTTCAAACTGCTTTAATGAGGATAACAGAGGTAAACACAAGCTAACTGTGCATGCTAATGTTTCATCCCCATGTTATTTATCAGCTCGCTAACCCTGCCATGGGGAGGCCAAAAGCCCTGATCCTGGATAAATGGGCAAACCTGCATCAGGAAGGGGATCTGGTGTTAAGTCTGTTCCAAGTCAAACATGTGGTTCACCAAAAATAAGATTTATACATAGGTTCAGGCCGGTGTTAACACGGACCACCTCCAGTATTATTGGCCAACACAGTGCAGGTGGAATCTGCTACTGCTGGCTGAAGACAGGAAGAGGAGAAGGAGAAAGAAGCAAAGGCAGGAGTGTTTGGTGTATCTGAGATGGCAGCAAGAGTGGAAGAGAAGGAACGAGAGGGCGAGATGGTAGTGAGACCTCCTTATGATGGATGATTTGGAGATGGTGGCACGTGCAAAAAGACAGGTCGAGTTTAAGGTAGCAGAGCTGAAGACTGTCATTTGGAGTGAGCCGAATGGACAGGATTAGAAATGTGAACATCAGAGAGACGGCAGTTTGGAGACAGAGTTAGAAATGTGAGGCTGAGATGGTTTAGACATGTGCAGAGGAGAGATAGTAGGACAAAGGATGTTGAAGGTGGAGCTGGCAGGCAGGAGAAAAAGAGGACGGAGATGTGGTGTGGGGGAAAGAAGGCAGTCAGAGGGTTGGTGTGAGAGAAGAGGATGCAAAGGAAAAGGGTGGTAGAAGAACGAGATAAAGAAAAAGAAGAATCCTGAATTTTCCTGCTTCAGCTTAATGGAAGCTAGAGTCTATTTTAATGGTTTCATATGAGATCTTTATATTTGTACATGTATGTATTCTGTTTTCATACCACAATAACTGCTGAAACTTTCCCCTGCTGTTCGGTCTCCCGGTCATATTTGGGTTTCAGGAGGGATGCATACAACTTAGGAAACTCACATGTAAGGCTAATTGGCAGTCCCAACCATTGCACTGTCATCTGAGCAAAGCAAAAACACCTGGACTCAATTACCTGCTTCAGGTGGGAAAAGGCATTACCTGGAAAATGACACGAGAGAGAAGCAGCACAAGCTTTCTTAACAGCGATAGAAATGCCATACAGTCCCTTTATAGGATGACAGAGTGTCCCACCTCACTGTTTTAAGTTTCACTTGATCTAGAAAATGCAGATTTTTCTTTTATAAAAATCAGTTTATGCGGGAAAACGAGTATCCATGGTTTAGACAACCTGTGTCTAAGCTGCGATACACATTAAAGAAAAGGTTGCCTAATTTAAGTTCACTTAACACTCTTTCGTTGGTATTTAATCTTGCACATCTGGATCAGATGTTGGAACAGAACATCATTTGTATGAGATATACTTAAAGTATCCACAAAATGACATTGCACTGGCTGATTGGCTTCAGCTGTTTGTGAAACACTTCACAGTGACAGGTGCATCCACAGCTGTGACAGATAACATCCTGACACTTCGAGCAGGTGCGCAGATATTATAACCTGCCATGGTTACTTCCCTCTTTACACTCATGCTGACAGTTCATTGGTGCGTCTGACCTGACTCTGTCTCACTGAGCTTGTCTTTTGTGCTGATTTGATTGAGGAGTAAATAATGTGCACACAGTCTGTCGGCTGGATGTCAAACAGGCAGAGGTTCAAAAGCAAGGAGAGCAGAGGTCTCTTCATTAAATTCAGAATGATGAAGTGTGAGGTTTGCTGTCGGACGCTGCTGGATGTGAGCTTGTTTTGGGTGGGTACAGGTTGTGTTAACGAGGCTGTGCTGTTGCTGGATGTTGATCTTCACTGCTGTGATTCTGCGAGTAGACTTGTTGGCACTGCACACTTTAAGATGATGATGTTGTCCCTACTTCTGGCTGCTCGTTTTTGATGTCTGCTGGCAATTCTCTTTGCATTCATGAGAAACTTTATTTGTAATCTGCATGTGTGTGTATCCATGAGGTGGCTTTGCTTTATCACTACCACAAAAGTCTTTGGTTGTCTAAAAACAGTGTATTTTACTCAAACTTGGTCTATTGTTCACATTGTAATTGAATCGATATCTGAGCTCCTGCGAGTCGCTAACTACAGGCCATCTGTTCATATTTGTTACACAAAAGCATGTGTGTTGTTGTTAAAGCTGATTTTAGCAGAATCCTCATCACTTCTTCCATTCTTTAAGCGCTCTCTCAGTGAGCAGAACTCATTCTACTAAATCTAAATGCCAGATCACTTTCTTAAAGTGGTCTCTTCATTGAGGTGAGTGTCTCTGATGTGCAGGTCAAGAAGGCAAATCTGGGCTGTGAAAGTGTTGCAAAAGGACGCTGGAGCAGGGTCAATGACAGCTGATGAACCTGAGAGTCCGTCGAACACGAGAATAGAAGAACATCCTCATTTTAATCCAAAGTGTGCTGAGATTGACAAGTTATACCTGGAGACGCAAAACAAAGCCAGTGACAAAAACTAAGATGACCAACATGTGCAATCTTGTTCATGTTTACACTTTGTTTTTCTGTGTTACCTGCAGTGTAACTAAAAGACAAACCGCACAGCAAAGCTTCATGAGAGTGAGCGCCACAAACCCCATCACTTTAGTTCATTTATGATGGAGCGTGGTGAAGCATTAAACTGTTCTGCCGTCTGATCAGCTCTTTTTGGAAATCTCCAGGTGAGCAGGTAAAGGTCAAGAGGGAGGATCTGTTATCAGTATACAGTGGGTGGATTAGAGAACGTGGGCTGAGTAACTTGCACATGTGGTGAGTGATATCAGCAGGTTAGGAACACAAAACCTGCTGATATTACTCGCACAATAGTTTTATACCTGAATGTTTGTTCTTTACAAACCAAGGCCTAATTGTTTTACAAAATTTTAAATGAACAGTATTCATGATGATGACATTTATTACCATATGATCTTTCATTTAAAAGGAATTGTCATTGCTTTATATCATCACTTGGAGTTTTTTTTATTTTATTTTTTTATTTTTTTGGCACTACCACACAGATGCTGCAAAAATCTTTTCTCTTTTGTCTCCTGCTGAGCTGAAAGATCAAATTTTCCTCTACCTGTTTGTTCTTTTTCTTGTTGCCTGTTACTCTTGTTCATATGAGCTTTGGTGTTTAAACTTTTATTTTAAGAGTCATTCCTGTAGAAAGCTGTGCTTCCTTTGTTTCAGGCAGACTTTCTCCTGCTGTCCTGCCTCAGCGGTGCAGGCTTCTCTCCTGCAACATCGTCACCACCTGGAGGTAAACGTGTTTCCTTATACAGAGAAATGGGGGCGTGGCAGTATGCAGATTGCACAAGCCTGTTTGTGCCAAATGATACAGAGTTATTAACATTGGTTAGATCAACACAGCCTTGTGAGCTTCATGTTTCATAAATCCAACAGTAACTTTACATAGACTTTTTTTTTTTCTTTTGGAGCAAACTAACAAGGTTTCCATGCACATGCTAGTAAGCTGCTCCTCCATAAACAGTCGATATAAAACAAAGTAACACCTGTGTGCTTGGTTTGTTCTTAAAGGTAGATGCGTTTGTCTATGAAACGCATGCATCAGCTGATTGTCTGCACAGCTACATGCTGCTTCATTGCTGTGTAGCTAAGGAGACTCCCTAACTGATACAAATGTAGCAGGAGTCCAGATCACTTCGCACTCACACTGTGCCTTTAGCTTGGCATCATGTAAGCAACTAAAAGTTTGTGCATATTTGTGACACATTCACGATGTCGTTGTGCTGTCTTTGGTTATATCTAGTGTGGCTAATCAATGCCTTGACCTCACCTATCAGCTCTTCTTCATTTCTATTTGAAACCTGCTGCTGCTGGAGCTGCAGTGTGAATTATACTCGTATCCTCTCCCTCATCCTTCATCTTCTCCTTACTCGCAAACAGCCCTGATGTTTATTTCAGGTCGCCTCTCGGCACTTCTCATTCGCCTGCTGGCATTTCTCCTCTTCCTCCTCCGGCCCTCATTTCCATCTGTGTTGCTCTCTTCTTTGTCCTCGTCCTTCTTATTTCCATTTTTAGTCTGTTGGAGCTCAGCTGCAAACTTTACATGTTGGTGTGACAATAAGGCGCTGTGAAAACACACACACACACACACACACACACACACACACACACACACACACACACACACACACACACACACACACACACACACACTCTTTTCTCGTTACAGTAGAAAACTTTCAGTCTGTGCTGTGTCAGTGCAGAGGGTGATGATGTGCCGTACGGCTTTGAAGATGGACCAATGCCTTCATTGTCACTCTCATGCAGTCATTGCCCCCCTGTATTTCCAGCATCACCACCCAATTTCAGATCCAGTTCTCTTTGCTCTGGACTTCCTGTAACATATTCTTCCTATTACAGCTGTGTTATTGTAATGATCTCTCAGTTTCTCCAAACCCATTTTCTTCACTCTCACTACCTTTTCAATTTTCACACTTACTCACATTTTTGCCTTTTTCCGAGGTCTTCCTCAGATTCCATCATCTCAAGCTTTTGCTCTGTCACTCTCATTTTCATAATGCTTCACACCTGTCATGACTGCTCACTTTCTCTGCTGATCCTCAGAAATTTCGATTAATCCACCCAAACTCGAACTTGCTGTATCTGCCTTAACTGAACCGACTGGAGTCACGGCAACTTTTAAGTCCAAAGAAGACTGAAGCAATCAATAAACCACTCTCCTGTTGTAAATTGGCAGTACCAGTATTCATCACACACACACTTCCACACTCATCCCTAAATATAACAGACACCATTGTCTTAAAGCCGTAAGGTTTCAATTCAATAAAAGCAGCAAACTAGGTGGACAAATCAATAAGCACACCCTTAAAAGCGCAGAGATAAGCAGAGCATACCTCCCTGAGCCTATTTATAAGCTGCTCTGGGTTAATGGGGAATTTGTGTCACCTTCATCACTGATTTCAGGATGTTTTAGCACTAAAGTGAAGACTTATCATAACGTGCATATATCTGAGTTGACAGCAGCTCAGCTAGAATATTTTTGCCTTTAATTTTTTTTGGAACGAGTTAAAAGCAAGTATGCAAAAGGTTTTTATTATATTATTTTTGCCTGTGCAAAAAAAATATATTGCCACCATGACAATCACCTAACAGAGACAGCTTAAGCTGTTTTATCGAGTTTACCCACATGTACAACTGACAGCAGAGTAAATGATTTTATCTGGCTAGAAATGTCAGATTTTATTCTATAAAAGGATTTTTAGGGGTTTGTTTTTAGCTAGCATTTTGAAAGTTTTCTGTTTGCAAATTATTATAATGGGTCTACTGCACCTACAACGGTTTTCTGTATATTTCACCTGTCAGAAGGAATGGTGCTGGTCACAGTACTGATGAGGTGTTAGAATAGCTTTTGCCCCAGTGTTTTGAATTTTATTTTATTAAACTTTAGATTCTCACCTAGTTTTGGTCTGAGTTTTGCTCATTGTATCCCTGCCTGTCCCTCCGGTCGTTCCCTCATGTCTTCTATCCTAGTCTCACCTTTGTGTGTCCTCTGTAAGAATCAGTCTTTATTTTTCTGTTCCCGTGAGGTCCAGTCTCTGTGTTCAGTCTGTCTGGTCTCAGTGTTTGTTTTCCTCTTCCCTGGTTTAAGTTGGTATGTCTTAGTCTGGGCCTATTGTCTGTGAGCTAGTCCTGTTTTATTTTCACAGTCCTGCGTCTTGTGTATATGCTCTGCTTTGCTTCCTTTCTCTCATCAGTTAGATTCCTTCAGCTGTGTTCCCCAGGTGTGTCCTCTCTGCCCTGATTCCCTTCTGTTCTTATTTACTCTGCGTGTTTGTCTGGTCTTTGTCACGTTGTTGTCATTCTCTCTTCATGTATGTTCTGTTCGTTTTGCAACCACTAAGTCTGCGACTCCTGTTTGTTTTGTCCCCTGAACTTGAGTAATAAAGCTGTTCTGAGCTCAGTCCTGTCTCCGCGTCTGCTCTATCAGCCAGTCATTCATACGTTGGAGTATTAGGGTCACAGTGTTCAAAACATATCAATCACTTCGAGAATAAAAACAAATTGTTGGAAAATTGTTGCTTCAAGACAAACTGTCATGATACTCTCTACAAAGCCCCTTACGGAGATGACTTGGTGAAATCATAATTCAGAATCAGTTTTAGTCGCAATCAAGGAAATGATTTCTCTTTTAGCTCATAAACACAGCGCGGTGATGAGTACAAGAACGTTGAAAAGATGGTGTAAGAAGCTGCATCTGGTCGACCTCATGCAAGAAAGTGAAAACCTGTTTTACCACAAGGCTACACACGACTCACCAACTCATCTACACAAAGCAGATGAGTTGGTGCTATACAGAGGGCGGTTTGTCTTGAAACAGCTGTAATCTCCACATTTTAATTTTTTTTCAAAATAAAATTTTGACTTTAAACAAATGATTGAAGTCAGAAATAAGCTGAACGCATTCAACTGTTATGCTAGTAGACAGAATTAACAAGGAGGCACCATAACAGTTCGACTCTTCCAGTGAATGATTTATATATTTGTCTGCACAGCTGCCAAACTGTAAAAGGTCTTGCATGGGATTGAATCTGTTAGCTCCCCTCAGGTTGTTGAAAAAGGGGCATGAATGTGGATTTCCTCCAGGAGGAAGTCCACATCCACTTGGACCTGACTATATCATTTCATTTTTGAGTTGTCAAACTATAATAGCAGTAAAATAATAACAGGATGGTAATAATGCAGTATTTAGCTCCTTTTTCTTTTTTCTTTCTTAAATATCAGAGCATGAGTCTTCAGACTAGTCTTTACCATTTATAGGCCTTTACTGCAGATCTGAGGTCCAGCAGCCCTGTAGCTAAATATAAGGCTGAGATTTCCTGCTGATAAAGCCCAGAAGGACGAACCACCTCCACCCAGCCACAGCAGGAGGATCAATCAGCTGATTTCCTTTAAGAGTTAGTAATGATTTCTCTGCCATTAACTTCCACTTAGTTTTTACCACATTTTACAATTAGCATTTTAAACAAAGCCCTTCGTTTTTCTCTGTTCGCCTTTATTTCATCTCTTCCTCTCTTGTCCTACTTGTCCTTCACTCAATTTTCTGATTTGTAGACAGAACTCCAGCCAGTTTCATCTTCCCTGTATTCACAGGCGCCGGCTGTCAAGGCCATTTTTACTTTATTATTTTTCCCAAAGAAGTGTATGTTTTTGTGCGTGACACAGAACGGAAACTGTGATTTTCTAAAGCCCAAGGTCACTGTACAAAGCATAAGAGACAATAAACAGTACAGTAAAAGATAAAAGCAGCATTTGTTTAAAGAGTGAGTCAGTTTGAACAGATGGATTTGGGGGTTTGACTTGAATAGGGGAAGGGAGCCAGCATCCCTGATATCAGGAGGAAGTGAATTCCGGTGAGCAGAGCAGCTAAAAGCTCTGTTCCCATAGTGGTGAGACGGGCAGAGGGAACAAGAGGTGACTGCCGAATGAAGACCTAAGGGAGCAGCAGTGTGGAGTAAATCAGACATGTAGGCAGAGGCCAGGTTATTATAAAGGTGAGAAACAATGATTCTAGTGAGTCTACGGGCAGCCAGTGAAGCTGCTGGAGAACATTGGTGATGTGCGAGTTATGATCCAGGCTGCAGGATTCTGGAGGACTTGGAGTTTATGAACAGACTTATTAGTGAGACAGAAGAGAATTACAATAATCAGCCAGAGAAGTGACAAGGCTATGGATCACAGCACCATGGAGGGTGGGAAAAGGGAAAAGATGGTTGATGTTGCGTAAGTGGAAGTAAGCGGACGGGATGAAGTGATAATATGAGACTGAAATGGCAAAGTGCTGGTGAAGACGTTACCCAGACTATTAACCTGAGGGGAGACAACTAGAAAGAAAATCAAAAGCCTATACTGGGAAGGCTAAACATGAAACCTGAAACATACTAGAAAACCTGAGACCTGGAGAAACGTGGGGTACACCAGCAGAGGAAACGCTGGGAATGACAAACAGAGGGATCCAACTAGGAACAGAGGGACGAACACACTATATATACACGGGATAACGAGGAAATGGCACACAGGCAGTGAACATAGCTGAGCGGACCATGACACCTTTAGTGTTTGTCATGCTGTTTTTTTGTTATTGTTTATTTTTATTTGCCAATAAATGTGTGTATTGGTGGGAGGTTTGTGCGTATTTGGGTCTCTATGACTGAAAACGAGCGGGACACGTGGCAACCTCGTTAAGACTGACGGCACTACAACGCTGCACGACACCTTTTATTCTCATTATTCTTATAATTTCATCTTGAAGCAAGTCAGGAACATGACTTAATGCTGTGCTCCACTTCAAACACATCTCTGCTCATCCACCTGTGAACGGCAGTCTCTGCAGACCTGTCTCTGCAACAATACATATGTGTGAATGCACGTCAGGTCTACTCATAAGGTGCTGAATTTGTGTATCTTTGCAGGTGTGTGTGAGGGCGCACGCTATCTCACATCAGTGTCTTTCTTATTGTGTGTCACTGTGCTAGCTAGCGTGTGTGTGTGTGTGTGTGGTGGTGGTGGTGGTGGTGGGGGGGAGGGGGGGGTCTAAGCATGTGTGTGCTGACATTTCAGTCACTCTGCTGTATTTAATTGTGTGTTTATGTTCCCAGAAGTTTGGATGTGTCAGGTGTGCTGCTGATATGTGCATATTTTTGTGTTTGTGTGAGTGTTTGCACTCAGTTTTAGTGCTTTTCCCCACTCAGACCTCCTCCCTGTTCAGTCAGCTGAAAGACAAACAAGTGAAGAAAGGAGGAAAGAAAATGTTAAAAGACAATTTGAATGATTCATGCAAACCATTTAATATAAATCATGCTGGCAGAATAACAAAACAAGTTTATTATCCAGCACAAAGCAAGAGTTGAATCCGTTTGTCTCTGTGACTTTTAGGGAACGGTTAATGCGGTTCATCTGACTTTTGGTAATGTGT